CTACATATATATATATATATATATATATATATATTTATATCGCGTAAATATATATATACACATATCCATGTATTCAAATAATACACAAATTCACATACCAACATGTATCAATTACCATGTAATGAATTAATCAAATAATCACGTATTAAATACCTTGGGTAATAACCAGGATCTGGTTATCACAATTTTCTTCTCTGTTAGTCTCTTTTTTATATCATGTGTCTGTATACATTTGAAAAAAATTCCGAAAGTGTACACTCGATTGTAGGTGTCCCAAAATAGAAATTGTTGCAATTTTTACGCATACTCTATCCGTCCCAAAATAAGAGTCCATATTTCTATTTAGTTTGTCCCAAAATAAATGTCCACTTTCAGAAGTTAGTGCCTACTTTCCAATTATACCCTTACTTGTGAGTTGGAGAAATTCGTTACTCCACTATTGTTAAGGGTAAAACTGTCATTTAGTTGAGTAAAAAGTGTTAAGAATTACACATTTCTAGATCTGTATGCCATTTTTATTGTGGACATTTATTTTGGAAGGAAGGGAATGTCAAGCATGATTCTGACTTTAAAAGTGGCATCTTCTGTTGCATTCTGCATGTTTGCAGAAGGATATGAAGAAATAGAGAACAGGCTGCGGATGATCGTAGATGTACGTGATCTAGTCGAAGCACTTCTTTTAGTGTATGAAAAACCTGAGGCCAGTGGAAGATACATATGCACATCTCACCTGATCAGGTCAAAACAATTGGTAGAAATGCTGAAGAAGTACTATCCTGACTACAAGTATCCAAAGAAGTGAGTCTCTTTCTCTTTTTACTCCTTCCCCATGAAAATTGCATCAATTTCCTATTTTTAGAAAGTTTCCAAGTTACCATTACATCTCTGCCATTATTGTTATAAGAAATAACTTGATGGTATTGATTTGGGTCTACAAGATTATAGGAAGGCATTTTAGATATTTCACAAATAGTTGAACACTTTCTTAAATTGTGCCAAATAAATAATGTAATCAGATTGGAACTTTATTTGACATGGAGGGACGGGTTGATTTGGTGAGACATGTAAAACCACGAACAAGACCATATAGAACCGATCGATATGGCTTGACCCTTTGGAGACCCCGGGACAATTTGTGTCCGTCTAGCCTTCGTTGGAAGGGATGTGTTGGGGTCTTGCATCGTCTAGACTTGGACCATTTCTCCTCCATATTTGTTCGAGCATCTCCTCTCTCCTTAATGGCTCTTTTGGAGAATAATTTAAGAGCATCCAGAATTGAGGCTTTTTGAGAGCTTATCGAAATGCTTTTTGACCAACTCACATTGTGGAAAAGCCCCAACAAACAAAAATCCTCTTTTTGCTTGTAACTGCACAACCTCACAAGAAGTCTCTTTTTCTTAGCCACCTAAGCATGTGGGTCCTATATATTGGGCAAAGCTATACCATTGTGGAAAGCTCCAACGGGGTTCCACATATTCTCTCATTCAGGGAATTGACTTATGGTGCATGGGTGCTCATGTTTCGTTCTTTTAAATTTTCTGAGACTAATATTTGAACCTTTGGGCCTCCTTTCTGCAAAAGGGTAGGACCATATGGGTTCCACGGCCTTCACGGGGAGGTACGTGTGTCCGAATGGCATATGGGTGGTGTGACCAGTGTCTGGAGTCGAACCCCAGATTTTCCATTCATTCTACAAAGATGTCCATCTCCGTACCGGCTACGCTAAAGCCACATGAACCTCATTTTTGTTTCTAGCCCATATTAACTACATTTCCGGTGGCAGATTTATCGAGCTGGATGGAATATTTTCAGTTACATCTGAGAAACTACAGAGGCTGGGGTGGAGCTACAGACCACTGGAAGAAACGCTTGTGGATTCAGTCGAGAGCTACAAAGAAAACGGTCTTCTGGGTAACTTATAAATTGTCCTCCATCTTTATCAACCACTTTCTATTCTAATAACAATTTTTATATCTACTTTTACAAATTTTCAAATCATTGATGGTCTTTGAATATTTTTTATATACGTCGTATGTTTTGTTGTTATAAAAAAATATTATTTTATGTGACTTTTTATACCAAAAGATGTATAAATAAGGGGCCGATTACCCGGTAAGCACTTACCGGTAAAATTCAACATTATCGCTTACTTACCGGGTAAGATTTTATTCACTAAAACACATTGTATGCAACAATTATCCCGGTAAGCGCTGACCATGGTAAGAGTCCTCGTTCTCACTTAACAGCTAAGACTCTCGATTCTTGCCTTCGCTCTTACCGGGTAAGATTTTTAGTCCTTGCCATATTCATCCGATAAAGTAAATTGACTTGGTTAAGCGCTTGGTAAACGGGAAGACTTGTATGAGTTAATTTCTGAATGTGTTTGTTTTCAACCTAATAAGTTTAATGGGTTGTTAGCTTAGTTGGTTAAATTATATTGAGGTGTTTGATTTTAACTTAATACTAAGAGATATTGAGGTGTTTGATTTTAACTTAATACTAAGAGACTAACTTAACACGTTAAGTTAATCTATCCTATATTAATGCATTAAGGTAGAGTTTATTCCAGAAATTACGCTTGTCCTATAACATTTAATCACACGTCTCGTTAAGTTTACCGACATGCATAAATTAGAAAATGTAATCACATAATAATACTTTATTATTTTAATATATTTTACATTATTAGGTAGTGTTATGAACTTGTTGAATTCAAATCATTCATATTATTTTAATTTTTTTGTCATTTTAAATATGTATTAAACAATTTATTTTTATTCAACACTTATGATGAATAAGGTTGGTAATTTTTGCTAAGGAGTTGTTTGTTTACCTTTTAATAATTCCATTAAGAGGCAGACTTTGAATCGTTAAGAGGTGAATCTTGTTTGGCACTATATCATTAAGCACCCTAATTTCATTGTAAACAATTACCAAACAATTATATTTCATTTTGCATTATATCATGAGAGTCTCTTAATCATTCTGATCACTTAATCATTCAGCAACTGTCAAGCAGCCTCTTATTCAAACTATTTATTCAAGATAAAAATTAAGCAACAATTTATCTTAATTTATTCGAGGTGGATTAATAATTAGAAACAACTTAATAGATTCAAAACTTAATGGATAAAAAATCAAACAACGTCTTAATTTAAAAATAAGTAAGTATTTATGTAAGAAAATGTTTTTAAAAAACTAGTTTAATATGTAAATATATTTTTATTTTTCAGAAGTATAGAATTCTTGTATTTTATTCCGGGAATTGTTTTATATATTTTACAAATTGTTAAGTAATTTAAAACTATTTATCATTCTATCAACAAGAGAGACTCGTGAAATAATTAATAATTTAATAAAACATTTCTTTTTGTACTGTTTTGTTTTAATTATTATATTATTGTGCTCATATAGATCTCAACAACTATCTATATATTATAATAGAATTGTTTTGGCGTGCGTCTTATGCAAATATAAGACAATAAGTTATTATTTGTTTATTATGAAATTATATAACCTAACCTAACAAATTTGATCCTTAATTATTAAGACAAGGTCGTACAAGTTATAGGATTCAAGAGGTCACTAATTCTAATAGGAAACAGCGTTTGTTATGGTAGTCGGTGGAAAAACATCGAAACCATGTATTTCTTGACGTCTGATTAGACCAACCATTTATTTTGCTTCTCCATTCTTGTTATTGCAAAGATTACTTATTGTGGCTGCCTTTTGAATGATTGTAAAGATTTCTTGAAATCTAGTTTTACATTTTAAGAGAAACCACTTGTTTGTATTTTTGCTAATAAGTGTCATTTCCAAGTTGTAAAGATTTCTTGAAACCTATTATTAGTCTTTTAGATTGTGTTTGGTACATGGTATATGACAAGATATGATGGGAGAAAACTCAGTGTTCTATGTTTGGTACGATATGGGACAAGGACAAAAACCGGAACAAAATGGGACAGCATGAGACAAAAAAGGTTTTTTTTTTTTTGTTCCACCAAGTCTCTCTCTCTCTCTCTCTCTCTCTCTCTCTATATATATATATATATATATATATAAATTAAAAAATCACTAAATGATGATTTTAAAAACCATGATACACAATATGAATAAAACGAAAGTTCGCCATCCGTACATATTTTTCTTAACTAATAGTTCTTTAACGAAACTTAATAATTAAATTAAACATTTTATTAAATCAATTTATTATTTATCAAAAGAGAGGAAATATAACTTTTATTTTTATATAACTAACCAAAAAATTTGTTACGGTTGTTATATTTAATTTTTTAAT